AAGTTTAGGCGATTGATGGAGAAGTGGGAGGCGTTAAAGATTGACGCAAACGGAAGCCGGGAAACCTAACGAGAGAGGACCAGGAAGTGATCTCAGGAGCCGCAGCCCGCAGTGCCGAGTGCCCGGTTCCCTGTCGTTGCTCGGGGTCCTGCACGGTGGGAGCCGCGCGCTGCAGACCCGGGTGCGGAGGACGCGGCGGGTCCGCGGGGACCTGAGACCTCGGGATCCGCGGTGTCCGCGCTCGCGGGGCGGCCTGGGAAAGTCAGCAGTCAGCAGCGCAGTGGCGGGAACCGCAGCCCGGCGGCCCTGGAAGCTCCCAGGTCAGAGGAGCTGCGGGGCTGGGACCCGGGAGGGAGGAGCGGGGGTGCGAGCGGTTTCTCTTCTACTCATCAGGAAGCCGGCCCCGAGATTCTGCTGTGGATGTCTTTCTTTCCCTTGGTGTATTTTAGAGTATATGGAGTATGCCTGTTTTGTTTTTCTTCCTTTTTATTTATTTATTTTTTCCATTTTACATACCAACTATATTTCGCCATTCCTCTCCTCCCGTTCTCCCCCACCCCCATTCACTCCTCAGAGATGATAAGGCCTCCTATGGGGCACATCATCTTGAGGACCAACTCTTCTTCCCACTGTGTCAAGGCTGATTAAGGTATCCCTCCACAGGGAATGGGTTCCAGAAAACCAGTTCTTGCATTAGGGGTAAATCCTGGTCCCGACGCCAGTGGCCTCCCAAGCTGTCATTCTAGAGTCAGTGAGCTCCCACTAGCTCCAGTCAGCTGTCTCTTCGGGTCTACCCATCATTATCTTTACCCCTTTGCTCATATAATCCCTTCTACCTCTCTTTGATGGGACTCCGGGAGGTCATCAGTCCAGTACTTAGCTGTGGATCACATCTGCTTCCATCAGCTACCTGAGGAAGGTTCTGTGATGACATTGGGGTAGGCCAGTTCAGGCACCCTCTGCACTTTTACTTCCCAGTTTCTCTTCTTTCAGGTTCAGTGTAACTGGATTTATGTTGAGGTCTCTGATCCACTTGGACTTGAGTTTTGTGCACGACGATAGATATGGATCTATTTGGATTCTTCTACGCGCGCCAGCATCCAGTTATGTCAGCACCATCTGTTGAAGATGGCTTCTGTTTTCCAATGTACAATTTTAACTTCTTTGTCAAAAGTCAGGTGTTCATAGGGCTGTGGATTAATGTCGGGGTCTTCAATTCAATTCCATTGATCCACATGTCTGTTTTTTTTTTATACCAGAACCAAGCTGGCATAAACCAAGGAAATTCAGAATTTTTTATTGATCTTCTGATTGCTAGAATATTCTTGCAAAAATAATCTAGTGGAATATTTGAATTTATCTGTTGAGATTTGCAAACATGATTCCCTTTGCTATGGTGGATATGACAAAGATCTTGAAATTTACACTCATCCATACTAATTTCCGTATTTGAAAGAGTGGCACATGGAAATGGAGACTTGGATTCTCAGAGAGCTTTCAGATTATAGTAGCAGGCTCCTGGCAGAGTTGACTTGAGTTGAGCTCCAGAGGGATGGAGTATCATGCTGGTCAACTTCCCTTGTACCCCTTGTGGCCTAAGGGCAGCTGCTAAGGCTTAGGCTCGGAGCATGGCTTTGTCTTTCGGGAGGACTCCGCTGCCTCCTTCTGGGCATTGAAAACTTTAAAACCCATTTTCACCAGTCCCTGTATGGGAGTTTGGGGATCCCTCCTCATCTTTTTAAGAATTGCTTTCTAATATCTGGCACTGACTTGAGAGATGAGATGGGTGGAGCCGGGGAGGTTAGGTCAAGAATAGGACAATGTCTAGAGGGGGACAAGGGAGGTGTCATGGAAGGACAGGGAGGGGCAGTAGGAGGGAGGGGGAAAAGAGGAAGGTTGGTAAGGAGAGAGGAAGTTGTTACTTTATCTTTGTCCTGCAGGGGAAGAGGTGGATAGGGGAGGAATGAGAGGAATGTGAGCCACCAAATGAAACCCTGGAGGAGAGGCCAGTGTCCCAGGCAACAAGGTCAGGGTGGACTGTTCAGGGTCCCAGGTGGGAATCTGGAGGCACCGTGACCCTAGCCAACAAGACCGGTGCTGTGAGACACTGGCTACTGATGGAAGGGCGGGAGCTCAGTATAGAGAAACTGTGGACATATGGGGGTCCTGTTCACTGATCCCCACTCTGTCAAAAAACTATTTCAAGGTCCCACAGAGGATGGAAAGTTCAAAAGTTCCTCCTGGTGGCCATCATGTCCCATTGGCAAGGGCATATTGAGGCCAGGCCTTAGTGCACAGAGAAATCAGGCGTTCGGGACATACGGTGTCAGACAGCCCCAATTTTAAAAGACTTTGTAAAAGGCAGCCCAAGGACATTTGGGGATCTGGCTACTAATGGTCTGTGCCAGAACCCAGAGCCTAATGCAATGCATCCACTGTGGTAGGCTTTGGGTCAAAAACGGAGGGACTTTAGGAGAATTCCTTGAATAGAGCATCTTCCAAAGAAGGGTTCCCACTGGACAAGGCAGGTCCTCGTCCCACTAACAGGTCAGGGGCCTGGCGTGGCCACGTCTTTCCCAGGACACCCCGACAATCACAGGAGGCCCTGGGCCTCTAAGGCCATGACTTGGAAAGGACAACTTACCCAGTCGAAAGCCAATCTTAGCCTGGAGGAGAGCAGGTGTGGGGGAGAAGAGTGTTTTCCCACCCCATGGCCTTGGGCCAGTGGGGGCAAAACAGCCCCCTTGGTGGGGCCTCCAGATGAAAAGTTTCTACACCCCTTCACCCCGGTAAGCGTCTCGGCTGAGGCAGCAATCCATATCAGACCAAATCAAACTCAACTATACAAAGGCCCACATTTAATGGATACAATGCTCCCGGATAGCCTTCAAGGCCCCCTGAGAGGAGACAGGAAAGACAGACCAGAAAAGCACAAGTCTGCTTTCTGGGGGGCAGTTTAAATACTCTGTGTGACTCGTCTTGAGCACCTCGGGGAGGGGTCATCGTTTGGCGGGCTTTCTGAGATGCAGCAGGGTTGGAAGGGAGATAAGAGAGCGGGGCTTGGGTGGAACTTCCACCATAACACCTAGTAGGGCAGCAGCTCAAGGAGGGGGTTCAGGGGAAGCCCACAACTCACAGGGGAGAGAGAGCTGGCTGTCTGAAAAACACACATGGGAGGATGTGGGAGAGGGGCACTTGACAGGAGCTGACTGAAGGCATAGCCAGCTGGTCTAGGGCGGGCAAGCGCTGTGTGTTGGGAGCTCGAGTGCTTTTGGAGTTTGGGTGGCAGCTGGAGACTATTGTAGGAAGCAATAACAGGAAAAATACAAATTTGCTCAGAGGCTTGGAGAAAAAAGAAAACCTAACCTGTGGGGCTGCGACTCCCAGTGGGAGCCCTCGCGTGTACCAGTGACTGCAATGCCACAGGCAAGCGGCTATTTCAAGATTCCTGCAGTAAAGTTGGGTGCCAAATTGTAGCACGAGTTCTAATCGGTCTTAATCACAAAAACATGGAGACAGTATCAGGATGAATGCAGAAAGATCAGAGAGGAAGGAACAAGCCACAGACAATTCTTTTTTGTTTGTTTGTTTTTCAAGACAGGATTTCTCTGTGTTGCTTTGGAGGTTGTCCTGGATCTCACTCTGTAGCCCATGCTGGTCCCGAACTCACAGAGATCTACCTGCCTCTGCCTCTCCAGTCCCAGAAAACACAGACATCTCTTACCTTGCTAACAGCCTCCCAAACAAAACCTTGACCTCCTGTCTCTTCCTGCCTTATATTCCTCTCTCTGCCTAGCCATGTCACTTCCTCTCTGTCTGCACAGAAACCTCCAGACCTCGACGGTGAACTAGTGGCTAGCTCTGCCCTCTGATCTTCAGGCAAGCTTTATTTGTTAGAGTACAAAGAAGGTATCACAACAGTATTGTGTCAGAAAGCCAGATGCTTTCTGAAGCATCCTTTTCTCATGAGCAGACTTCCGATGCACCAGACCTTCTCACCTGTGCAGCAGAACAAAGAGGCCTGAGGAGAGAGGAGACAGATAATGGAGTCAATAAGATTTTATTTGACTATGTATTGTGAGTGATGCTATCTTTATTCATTCACACCACCAGCCATGTTTTCATGCCATTGTTGAATCATTTTCATTTCTTTATATATATCATAAAATGATGAAAACTAATACCTCTAGATTTATTTATTGTTTTCAGAAATTTTTTTTTGAGCTTTGGTATTAGCGCATTTTCTATGTTTTACTGGTTTTGTCTCCGTTCCTAAAAATAATGGCAATAGAGTTTTGATAAGAATCAGGAAGTATATTTACAGCCTGCTACACTCCATCTATGCTGACTTCTATTGCCTGTTGGAAATTAGGAGAAATACTGAGAATGCAGCAAGGATTGTGCTGACTTTGAAAGTAGTGGTTGTTGGCTCACTTCCAGGATCCATGCATTTTAGCCCCGGGGAAACTGGTTAGCTTTCCAGTACCAGGCATGTTCTCCCTCTCATTGAGAGGGTCTTAATCCAATTAGAAGCTGTTGGTTACCACCAAGATCTGTGTGCCACTCTTGCACCCTTGGGGTCATCGTGCAGTGCAGATCATTGTTGTGGTTCATAGGTGTCATAGCTGGGTAGGGCTGTTGTTTGGCTCCCTCCTTTGGGAGCTTGCATGTTGCCTTCTGGTACCATAAAAGCTATTCCCCATGAAAGATGTTTTAAGATCAGTTTCATCCCCAGCCCTTTGGTATTTGTGTCTGTGGTGTGTGACTCCTTCAGCACCAGGGACTCACCTTATGCCTCTTGGAAGCAACCATGGGCAACAGCAATACCCTGTAATGTTTGGAAGTCTCTTGGACAACTGTGACCAACAAGTTCAAAGCAGACTTCTTACACCTGCTGTTGGTTGTTGTGTTAGAAAATCTATGGCTCTTGTGAGGATCTGCAGCACCAATTCTACTTGGTCTTCATAATAAAAATCCAGAATCAGGTATCAGCAGTGTGATGGTGGAGATTCCACCCAAGTCCCCTCCCCCATCTCCCTCCAAACCCTGATGCATCTCAGAAAGCCCACCAAATGATGGACCCTCCCCTAGAGATACTCAAGACTACTCCCACAGGGTATTTAAACTGTCCACTAGAGAACAGAATCATGCTTTTTCCAGTCTCCCTTTCCATCTCCTCTTTGGGGGGTGGGGAGAAACCATCTGGGAGTGTTGTATCCATTAAACATGGGCCTTTTCTTATTCGGTTTGATATGGTCTGATTTGGATTGCTGCATTGGTGGAGATGCTTATCGGTGTCTACAAACTTTTCATTCGGAGGTTCCACTGAGGGGGCTGTTTTTCCCCCACACTGCTCCAGGGTCATGTGATGGGAAACACCCTTCTTCCCCACACCTGCTCTCCATCAGGCTAAGATCTTCTTTTGACTGGGTAAGTTGTCCTTTCTAAGTCATTGCCTCAGGGACCAGGGCCTCCTTCAATTTTCAGGGTGTCCTGGGAAAGATGCAGCCATGCCAGCCCCCCTGACCTATTAGTGGGACAATTACCATAACAAGCAAGTGAATGCTAAAAGAACAGAGAAGCAGAGCAGCCAGCCACCTCTGCGAATGCTCAGACCAAAGGGGCGATCCTATCTCTAGGAATCCTCAGACTGCATGCTCTTTCTACAAAACCTCCAACTAAATGCTTTGAGCTCCTCTGTTCTCCCGGCTTACATTCCTGTCTCCTCCCCGCTATATCAATCCTGTCTCTTCCCTTCTGTTGATGGGATTAAAGGGTATGCGGCCTTGAACTCACAGAGATCTGTATGCTCCTGTCTCAGGAGTGCTGCAGTTAAAGGTTTGTGACACCACTGCCTGGACTCTGTGACTAACGAGTGCGGCTGGCTCTGCACTCTGATCTTCAGGCAAACTTTACTTGTTACAGCACAAAATATCACCCAAGGAGCATCATCAGTCCAGTTGGGAAATCTTCATTTGCACTCTGAAAGTTTGTGCTTACACAGGCTATACACATTTTTGATGGCTGGTTAATAGTCAAGGGATAGGTGGGTTCCTTATAAATTTTCTACACACCCTTAATATTATTGCCCCTTCTTCTCTGTTAATATCTGCCCCTTATTCATAGTTAAATCCTCACACGTGTTTTTCCATTTTCCCCTTGAATCACTTGTTCCCTGTTACTCTCTGTTAATCCCTCCCACCTCCCAGTGCTGTCTTGTTCCTTTTCTGGTTACTGCAGTCACTCCAGGTTGTGTGGACTCACATCTGAAGATTTGCTGCTAGAAACTTCCTATGAGAAAGGACACGCATTGTCTGTCTGTCTGTGTGTGGGTGACCTCACTCTATATGATCTTTTCTAGGTCCATCCATTTACCTACAAAGCACATGATTTCAATTTTCTTTACACATAAATACTATTCCATAGTGTACATGCACCACACTTTCACTCTCCATTTGTCAGTGGAAGGACATTAGGTCGTTTCCATTTTGTAGCTATTGTGAGTAGAGCAGAAATGAACAAGGGTGAGCAAGTAAGTATCTGTGGAGTAGGAAGTCCTTTGAACCTATGAGAGGAATGGAACAGCTGGGTCATAGTCTGAATTTATTTAACTTGAAGGTTTGTTGATTTAGTTGTGGACTCTCTTTTGATTTTCAGTGTGGATAGTATTTTTGTTGTTGTTGTTCGTGGCATTTTTAGTTCCAGTAGTTTTGTTTTTATGTTGTTACTGGTTGGATCATTCATAGTCTTCTTGCTCCGTTTTGGAAAATAGTGCGTGGCTTGCTGTATTGCTCATAGATAATTAGTTCCCAGTCTTCCTGTGTTATTGTCCGCATGACATTTATTATTTCCCATGTTCTCATGGATGATTCCCCTGACTCTCCTGTGTATGTTTTACCTCTAATGTATTTAATGATAGAAACTGTTGATGGGTGACTATCTTGCATGCCTTGTGTTTCCGTCAATTTTAAGAGAGTAGTGTTCATTGTGCAACAGGATGCTTGATGGTGATTTTCTATTCAAGCTTCAAATGTCTTTCCGAGCTCTCCTGTCCTTGGGATCATTGACCTGACGCCTGGTCATATTCTTTTTCTTGTGGTTTGACATTGTTCTCTAACAGCTTTCAGTATTAATTTTAACTCTTCCTTTCTGACCACTTTATTTGAAAGGGAAGCAAGCCATGTATTCATTGTTCCTAAAAGAGGAACTCACAGAAGACAAGCAGTAAGAGCTGGCTGATTCTACAGTAAACATGTCCCAGGTCAGTGGCCCTTTTTACTCTTTTTCTAAAAATATTATACTTTGATATATTGAAAACCTTCATTTTCTGCTTCTGATAATTAAAAAAAATATTATTAACAATTCTGCAAGCAAACAAGAAAATCTCACACTGAAATTAAGCAGACCCAAAGACTATACAACTCAATGAACTTTTATATAAGTTAGCGTTGTCACAGGGAGCAGAAGCTGTGGAGCCTCACAGGGGATTTTATATTTCATAATTGAATCACTTTTGGCTTACCCACCACCCAAACCCCAAAAACCTTTGACAGAATTAGAACTAGAAAAGCTCTTAGCTTTATATCCTTTTCCATAACTGGTGTCCATTTCCTGCATTCAGTCCCTGGTAATTTAACCCTCCTGTTCTCTTTTCTCTGAGTTATACTGTGTCCACATTAACGTTGTCTCTATATACACATGTAATTGGGAGATAATGCACGTGAGCAAAAACATGGTGTTTCTTTCTGAAAGTGATGACTGCACTGAGTATTACACATCTGTTCATTTTCCTGAAATTTTTTTTCTCTTTAGCTGAAATGTACACAGCTTTATATACTTTTAATAATACATTCACTCATCTGTTGATAGATAAAGCTTTGATTCTAGTACTTTTTTGCAACCATCCATTTCCCCTGCAAATTTTTATTTTATTTTTCTCTCCAGCTGAATTTTGCATTTTATACAATTTTCACTGTCCAGTCACCTGTTGATAATTATTTTGGTTCCAATGTGTTTCCTTTGCTGATAAACACGGAGTATAAATATCTCTGTAGTGTGGTGTGTTTTTCTCTGGGTATATTTACAGGAGTGAAAGAGCTGGGTCACGTGTTAGCTCTCTCCATTTTTTCCAGCGATCTCCAAATTGATTCTCACAATGGCTGTATTAATTTGTACCCTCCCCTCCATCAACAGTGAACAGGGGTTCCTTTCTTGCCTCATCCACTCAGACATTTCTTGGCCTGGGGTGAGGCCATATGTTTCCAAGTAGTTTTAATTTGCTTTTCCATGGTGGCCTTTTGGGGATCCTGAAAGCTTTTGCAATCTTTATTGGCCCTTTGAGTGGTCTTTGGTCTTGGAATACTGTCTGTTTAGTTCATTTGCCTGTTTATTGATTTGTAGTTTTATCAATTTTATTTCCTCGGTATTTAATTAATTCAATTTTTGGTAAATTCTTGCTATGAGCCTCATCCAAAATATCACTGGTAAAGATTTTCTTAGTTATTTATACCTTAAACATTTTTTATGTGTTTTTGGACTTTCCTCAATTTTTATGCTCTTTGGGAGTAAAGTGAAATATTGTTTAAAACTTCTAAAATTGTTATTTGTCTCTGTTGGCTTTTGCATATTCATAGGGAAATTTGGGTTATATCAAATATTGGCAGATGCAGATTTTTTCATCTCTTCATAGCAGCCCAAACATTCTCTTAAAATTAAAAGTGAAAGTATGTAGTGCTGTTAAAATCCTTCCTACTCTGGAAAAAAACCAAAACTCTTTGTCTATAAAATCCATCCTATAGTCTGTCTTCCATACCTACATGTTTGATATTTAATAGTGACGCATGGTACCTAGTGTTTAAACATCCCAACTGAGCCTATTAGAGTAGAGTCATGAAAGGCCCAAGTACACACTGGAATGATATGTGTTAGTGTTTTAGCATGATCTACAGGTACAACTTTTAAATGACATTTTCTCATCATGAATTTTCCTCTGAGACATGTCTGCTGTGATCCTGTGTAACATAAACACGCATCCATAATAGATAGACAACTGTGCTCAGACCTTAAATGTATTTCTTGTTTCATGTATAATGCTCCTAAGACTATTGTTTTACCCTGTTTTCACAGAGTTAGAACGTTTGTGATAGAATACGACTGCATTGGACATCATCCTTTTGATCTATCTTCGTTCATATACATTCTGTCTCCTTATATCCAGGAAAGCACTTCCAGGTAGCAAGTCGTCAAACCATGCTTTTTTATTTCAGGGTCTGTTTTCATTCAGGGATGTGACTGTGGACTTCCCCCAGGAGGAGTGGGAATGTCTGGACTCTGCTCAGAGGGCTTTGTGCATTGATGTAATGTTGGAGAATTACAACAACCTGGTCTTTGTGGGTGAGCACATTTTGCTTCTAGAATTCCTAACCCATCTTTTGTTTGTTCTGATTTCATTGGATCTAAAATCTGTTAAGCTGTCCTGGAAAATAAAAAAAGAACAGGAGACAAGGTAAAGTATAGTAGTAGGAAAGAGCATTTTCATGCCATTTAGTTTTCTCTTTCCATTTTCCATTTCAGAGCTGTCATTTACCCTTCATTTTGGTTCCAAGATTCATCTGTAGACTCAGTAGCATATCAGGTTTCCAGCATATCTTAAAGCTCTAAGTCTGTTATAGCAATTGACATGGTTTTAAATTGTGAGAAAAATTCAGTGTATACAAACTGAAAATACTAAATACTGAAGAATTTCATAAGAAATATCAATCAAGAAATCTTGCCTGAATTCCTCTGCTTTCTGTTTTCATGTACTGAGCTCAGTACTGTCTTAGACTTTTGTATTCCTTCTAAAAGTTCAGTCATGGCTCATTCTGTCTCAAAGAACTTGTGTATTATTGTATCAGGGCAGGCATGGCCACCTGTCTGGAAAGAATGAGATTGCCCTGGAATGTGGACAGGAGAGAGAACCACAACTAGGGTGGACTAGTGAGTGAGCAAGGGAACAATGAAGGCTTCAAGTGAAAGAGAAAGCCATAGCTGAGAATGTTTCTGCGATGTTCAATTCCTCTTGAAAGGATTCCTGATCGTATAACTTAATGTAGTATCCTGGACCCTGGATGTATCGTGTCTATTGTAGTAACTGTTAAAAGGCATTTTCTCTTATTACACCTGAATTAATAGTGACTTAATTCTAGTATAAAATGCAATTTTATTTGACTATGCTAAAACTTTATTGGAATAATTTTGTAAAATTTTAAGTCTAAAGTGAGTCTGTGAAGTAAGCGTATTCTGTAATTCCCTTCCTTGTATGCCTGTCTTCATACTATAGCCTTCATTTTCTTCCCAGTGGTAAATACATAGACACCCTTCTGGGAAATAGTCTCAGTAGTCAGTGTACAGAGTGGACCTGAGAACAACCAACCCTGTGGGGAAAGTTACAAACACAGCAGTGTTTGGAGTTCAGAAAGTAGTGAATAAAAATAAGCAATAGCTGCCCATGACAGCCCTTGCCTCAAATGATCTAGAGCCTCTCATGTCTGGAAGAATATTGTTTTTGCATCCATTACTCTTGAAGAATCTAATGTGTTTTTCTAGAGAGAAATATAAACCCTTTGATGGTTTTAAGTAAGACTTTAATCTTTAAAGGAATTGGGCCTTCAGAACAATACTCTTCAATGCTTATCACTTGGAATGTATAAATACTGTGAACCTGTGATTGGATTAAACTTCTCTTCATCAATTTCCAAGAAGATATAATTAAAGATAGAGACATGTATTATATAATCCCTCAGTGAGCTCTATCCTACAGGTAATTCATGGCCACAAATTATTTTTTCCATCTCTTTTCCAATTAGATCTTTTAGATTTTTTTTCTTGTGGTGTGAGTGTGCCTCCTTTGGGTATATGCCCAAGAGTGGTATTGTAGGGTCTTGAGGTAGGCTGATTGCTAATTTTCTGAGGAATCGTCATACTGATTTCCACAGCAGCTGTACAATTTTTCACCCCCACCCCCAGCATTAACTTATTTTTTACATTCCAATGCCAGGTACCCCTCCTCTCCTCTTGTTTCCCCCACTTTACCCCACCCCACATCTTATCTGCTCCTCGGACAGGATAAGTCCTCCCCTAGGAACTCTACTAAGTCTGTCTCATCATCTCATTGAGGCAGGACCACAGCCCCTACCTCATGCCTAGGCTGAGAAGGGTATCTCCGTATACAATGGGCTCCACAAAGTCAGTTTGTCCATTACAGTTAGAACTTGGGTGCACTGCCAGTTGCCTCAATCATTGCTCCAGCCACACCACTGTCATCTGTATTCAGGGAATCTAATTCGGTCCTATGGAGGTTCCTGAGTTATCAGATAGAGTCAGTGATCTCTTACTAGCTTGGGTCTGCTGATTCTATGGGTTTCCCCATCATTGTCTTGACTCCTTTGTTCAAATTTTTGCTCCTCACTCACTTTGATTATACTCCAGGAGCACGGCCCATTGCTTAGTTGTGAATTTCTGCATCTGCTTCCATGTGTTTATGGAAGAGGGTTCTAGCTTCTCTGGGGTTGTGGATTGCCAGCTGGGATCTTTTGCTTTATATCTGATATCCACTTAGGAATGAGTACATAATATATTTGTATTTCTGGGTCTGGGTTACCTCACTCAGTTTTTTGTTTTGTTTTGTTTTTCTCTTTTTCTAGTTCCATCCATTTGCCTGCAAATTTCAAGATACCATTGTTTCTGACCACTGAGTAGTTCTTCATTGTGTAAATGTGCCACAGTTTCTTTATTTATCCTTCTATTGAGGGGAAACTAGGTTGTTTCCAAGTTCTGGCTATTAGGAATAATGTTATTATGAACATAGTTAAGCAAATGTCCTTGTGGTGTGAGTGTGCCTCCTTTGGGTATATGCCCAAGAGTGGTATTGTAGGGTCTTGAGGTAGGCTGATTGCTAATTTTCTGAGGAATCGCCATACTGATTTCCACAGCAGCTGTACAATTTTTCACCCCCACCCCCAGCATTGGAGGAGTGTCCCCCTTACTTGACATCTCTCCAGGATAACTTGTCATTAGTTATTTTGATTTTAGCCATTCTGATGGTGTAAGATGGAATCTCAGAGTTGTTTTGATTTGCATTTCCCTGATGGCTATGGATATTGAACACTTAAGTGTCCTCTCAACATTTGAGATTGTTCTGTAGAGAATTTTCTGTTTAGATCTGTATGTCTTTTTGTTTGTTCGTTTGTTTTTTGGTTTTTTTGTTGTGTTTTTCGAGACAAGGTTTCTCCGAGGCTGGAACTAGCTCTTGTAGACCAGGCAGGTCTGTAATTGTATGCCTTTTTTTGGGGGGGGGGGTTTCGAGACAGGGTTTCTCTGTGCAGCTTTGGAGCCTATCCTGACACTCGCTCTGGAGACCAGGCTGGCCTTGAACTCAGAGAGATCCTCTTGCCTCTGCCTCCCAAGTGCTGGGATTAAAGGTGTGCGCCACCAACGCTTGGCACTGTATGCCATTTTTTAATTGGATTATTTGGTAGTTTGAAGACTAGTTTCTTGAGTTCTTTGTATGTTTTGGAGATCAGCTCTCTGTCAGATATGATGGAAAATCTTTTGCCATTCTGTACACTGCTGCTTTGTCTTATTGACTGAGTCCTTTGCTTTACAGGAGGTCCCATTTATTAATGTTACTCTCAGAGTCTATGCTACTTGTGTTCTATTTAGGAAATGTTCTCCTGTACCTAAGAATTCAACTGTGTTTCCCAGCTTCTCTTCTAGAAGGTTCAGTGTGAATGGATTTATATTGAAATCTTTGATCCATCTGGACTTGAGTTTTGTGCATGGTTATAGATATGGATCTATCTGCAGTCTTCTATATGTCAACAGCCAGTTATACCAGCAACACTTACTGAATGTGCTTTCTTTTTTCCATTGTATCTGTTTAGAGTCTTTGTCAAAAATTAAGTGTTCATAGGTGTGTGGGTTGACATCAGGGTCTTTGATTCAATTCCGTTGGTCCACCCATCTGTTTTTATGCTAATACCAAGCTGTTTTCAGTACTGTAGTTCTTATAATAGAGCTTGAAGCCAGGGATGATGATACATCTCTTCCTCCAATCAGTATAAGTGGAGCTTGTGCTTCAGTAGGTATCTCTTTCTCCAACTGGTATAGTTCGGGCCTATGGCTGTGTTGACCACACCTTCAGTTGCAAGTAGAGCAGAGCCTTCGGTGATCACTGCTCCTGGTGGAAGTGGGTCCAAGGCTCAGGTATGCACTCCTTGCGGTGCAGGTGGGGTTACAGCTTTGGTGGGTGCCCCTTCTATTGGCGGCGAGGCCACAGCTCCAGTGATTGTTCCTTTAGGTGTAGGTATGGCTGAGGTTCCAGTTGTCGAGGTAGCAGCAGGGTATCTCAAACCAAGAAATCACAGTGGATGCTGTTTGGGACACAGGTGCTCTTTCCTGGAGGAACTTCATGCAATGGCTTCTGGAAGACACTGCTGGAAGCTGCTCCTGTTGTCTGCCACCAATCACTCCCTGGTTCTGGGCTGGTGGCTCGGGTCTCTCTCTGACACTGTTCCTGTGCCTGAGGCTTGACTTTCCTCTGATGATGTTCACAATCCTGAGGCTCCAGCCTCTCTCTCTCCAGTAAGAGATTTTTGAGAAAGATGAGATATCTGTTATAACTCACTGACCTTTGAAGGCTCTCATGCTGTGTTCGTGAGAATCCATACAATTGCAGTGAATGAAAAATGTCCATTGCTGGGAGCTCTCATCTAAGTAGTTCCATGTTCACTTATGTTAAATGACAACTTAGGGAGACAGTCATTTATCACATGGTTTTTTTTGTTTGTTTATTTGGTTGGTTTGGTTTTGGTTTTTTGAGACAGGGCTTTACTATGTAGCTTTGGAGCCTATCCTGGCACTTGCTCTGCAGTCCAGGCTGGCCTCGAACTCTCAGAGATCTGCTGCCTCTGCCTCCCGAGTGCTGGGATTAAAGGCATGAGCCACCAACGGCCCTACTTTATCACTTGTTTATTATTGGAACAAGCCCTATTAATCTGAACTGTACTCATTTTCAGCGAAGTATTGCAAATGTGATCCTGTCCATCACCATGTGAAGACTGAAAAGGAGTCCTGTCAGTGTAATGAGCTTGGCAAAGTGCCTCATGACCCCTCCACATGTGCACTTTATAGAGCAAGTGAAACTACAGAAAACTCTGATAACTACAAGCGACACCATTGTCAGACATGCAGGAAATGCTTCAAGACTGCCACATACCTCAGAGAACACGAGAGAATTCATACTGGAATTAAACCTTTCAAGTGCAACGTTTGTGAAAAATCCTTTACCCAGCGTTCAAGTCTTAAAATACACCAAAGAGTTCATACTGGGGAGAAACCTTACAAATGTAAAGAATGTGGAAAGTCATTTCGTCAGTTGTCAGGAATTAATAGCCATCAGAAAAGGCATACTGGAGAGAAACCTTACAAGTGTAAGGACTGTGATAAATCCTTTGCCTATTCTTCCACTGTCAAGAAACATCAGAAAATGCACATTGCTGGGAGACACTATAGTTGTCAAGAATGTGGCAAGATCTTTCTTCAGCTTTCACATTTTAAAAGCCATTACAGACGCCATATTGTAGAGAAGCTTTACAAGTGCAATGAGTGTGACAGACACTTTCCCGGCTATTCATCATTGAGTAGGCATATGAAAACTCATTCTCTAGAGAAGTTTCACAAATGCAAAGAATGTGGTAAGTCCTTTGTTAAATTATCACTTCTTAACAGGCATTACAGAATCCACACTGGTGAAAAACCTTACAAATGTGAGGTATGTCACAAATCCTTTATCTGCAACTCAACTCTTAGAAGACATCAGAAAATCCATACTGGGGAGAAACCTTACAAATGTGAGGTATGTGACAAGTCCTTTACCTGGAAATTATACCTTAAAAGACATCAGAATGTTCACACCGGAGAGAAACTCTACAGATGTAAGAAATGTGACAAGTCTTTTACTAGCCGCTCATATCTTAGATCCCATCAGAAAATTCATACTGGAGAGAAACTTCATAAATGCCAAGATTGTGACATGACCTTTACGCATATGGCAAAGCTTAGAAAACATCAGAGAGTTCATACTGGAGAGAGGCCGTACACTTGTAAGGAATGTGACAAATCCTTTATTAGTTGCTCACATCTTAGAAGACATCAGAGAGTTCATACTGGAGAGAGACCTTATACTTGTAAGGAATGTGACAAATCTTTTACTAGGTGCGATTTTCTTAGAAGACATCAGAGAGTTCATACTGGACAGCGACCTTACAGTTGTAAGGAGTGTGACAAATCTTTCACTAGGTGTGAGCATCTTAGAACACATCAGAAAACTCATACTGGAAAGAAAACTTCCAAACCCAAAGACTGACATATCCTATGTTCATATTATAAGACTTTGAAGACGTCAGAAAACTCATACTAGAGGGACAAATACCATTGTAAACAATGTGATGTAGCATTTATGTTCTATTCTCTGCTTACAAATCACAACAGTATATATAATAGAAATATAAGGATAAGAAAATTGTAAAAGACTTCAATGAGGTTTACATTTTAGAAAATATCTCAGGGTTTATGCCAAAATGAAATTCTCTAAATGTTACTATGGTAAAGGCTTCTTATTTCTTTTAATGTGTATTATGCTTTGACTGCTGTAGGTCTGTTGTGGGTGGAGGCCAGAGGTGTCATCAACATCCAAAAATTCATAACAGTTCCAGGCATGATGGTGCTAGCCTTCAATCTTTCACTCAGGAGACAGGAGAAGGGGATCTCTGAGTGTGAGGCTTTCCTGATAATCATAGTGAGTTCCAAGCTAGCTGGGATTACATGAACCCTGTGTCTTAAAAACAAAAAAACACTCATAATGAGGACAAAATGTAATAACATAAAAAAATGTGAAAAGGCCTTGAGTTTTGCCTCTTTTGCTGTGCATCACAAAATTCATCTTCTAACCAGCCAAGTAAAAGCATACTTTTACAATTCCTGTTTTGTTGTTCATTGGAGACTCTGTCCCTGAAATGCATTCAATTTAACAGATCTTTTACCTAGTTTCAAATTGTACACACACAAACAAAGCAAAAACATAGTTGGTCCTGCCTGCTCCCCCATTTCAGTAAGGTATTTTCCATTCCCCTGGAGGGTTGGGAGGAGGGGTGGACACTGGTGGGATCATCCAACTAAGCTGGAGCCCCCTCACCCCCACCCCAAGGTCTGTTTTGAGGAAGTGCCCTGGCTTGGCAGGGTGACTGACTCTAGAGGTCAGTCACCCTGTAACTGACTGAGCTGCTCTGGCCCACCATGTCTGGCCACAGGTGCCCTGGATGAGGCCCAGCTGTTTTATATACCCTGCCTAAGCATCATCTAAGCCTCTCCTGTCTCTGTCCCTGTGCCGGGTACCCATGCCTGAAGCAATCCTCCTTGTGTGAATTCCTTGGCACTTCGGCATAGGCGTCATGGACCTTGGGCTGGTCTGGATCGACTAGAAAGAGGAAGACAAACCAGGGCATTTAGCTCCTTCTCACCATGCGTAATGGGAGCTTGCACACAGTAGGCTCTCATTCTTCTAATTAATGGATAAAACGGGGAAAATGGGCAATAACATGAAACACAGGTGCAAGGTTCTATTTAGCCGTGAGGGAGGAAGCCTCAGCGAGAGTGTGGACATGAACTCCAGCAGGTTTCTGTCTGACAAAGAGAAAAGCATCAGTCTGGGAGAATCCACTCCCTAGCGGCAGAGCAGCCCCTTACGAGAAAACATTGCCTTACTGCTGGGACCTTTTCGAGAGGAAATAAAAACTGCCACAGGGATCCTTTTGATGGTCCAAGTAAGCTCCCAGAAGGACAGTGACTCCAGTGTCACCACGGGAACAAGGCTTTCGAAAAGAGACTCCAAGTCACCACATGCCCCTTGGGGAGGGAAGAAGAAACATTCCAGTTCCACAAAGACCCGGAATTCATTGGAAACGGAGAGAAAACTTCGGTTGAAGTCTTAGTTCTACGGTTTAGAATTGACAGGCGTTCTGGAGTCATCTCCATCAAAGATAAGGACAGTGTTTCCAGCCCTGCAGTCTGAGGCAGAGGCTCCAGGACACTGGATTTGTGTTTCCCCATGAGAACTTACATCAAGCTGTCAAACCCTCTCTTTTCCAATAAAAGAAAAAATTCACCTCTCTGAATTAATTCTGGAGAAATGCTCTTTTCCTGCTGCCTCCGATTTAGCACAAAAATGGCATTGGATTTAGCAGCATACAGCTTCTGTGAGACTACATCTAACATTTTTGGCACATTTGATCCCTCACTGGTGTCTCCAGAAGATGAAGGAGATAGACTCCAAGATAGAAGATGGCTTAGTATCAAAGGGGACGCCCCCAACCAATGCCACAAATACACACATTTGCGTCTACTGCACAGGTCAATCCATTGTACAACCTGGGAACAAAGTTAGCCACCTGGGATGATGGAGATAAGTGGTGATGGTTCTTCCGTACCAAAAAAAGGAATTGTAACTCAGAAGAGGTCTCAACCATCCTGTCCCTGCAGTCATGGTGACAGAAGCAGCACCAAGTGTCCTGGGAACTCCCCTTGCATGTTAGCAGACAGGGAACTCGGAAAGTTTAAATGCAGTTCCATTACACACACTGCCTTGTACAAGCAGAAGCCCTTGTGCAAGGGAAACCTAAAGGAATGTTTTTTTTGGGGGGGTTGGTTTTTTTTGCTAAGGGACTCTGCACAGGAGAACTACCTCCTCTCTGGGAGCTCACACCTCCTCAACAGATCCCAGCACGCCCTAATGGAACAGTGGAACCACAACTTCAGCTTCAATGCCCACGACCCTTGTGTGTTTCACTCCTCCACTGTCACTGGGCTCCTGGAACATTATAAAGACCCAGCTCTTGCACGCTGTTTGAACCATTGCTTACAAATGTGTGTGCCCTTGTATTTGGGGCACAAACATTCAGGACTGAGACTTCATATTGATGGATTTTTCCTGTGATGAATATGAAATGTCCTTCATCTCTTTTGCTTACCTTTAGTTTAAAGTCTAATTTGGTAGATATTAGAAGAGCTACACCAGCCTGCTTCTTAAGCCCATTTGATTTGAAAGTCCTATACCAAACCTTTACTATGAGGAATGTCTGTCTTTGAGGTAGAGGTGTGTTTCCTGTATGCCGCAGAGGGATGGATCCTGTTTTCATATCCATTCTGTTAGCCTGTATCTTTTTATAAGCAAGTTGGGCCCATTGATATTAAGGGATATTAATGACCAGTGATTGTTAATTCCTGTTAATTTTTGGTGGTAGTGTGTTTGTGTGTTTCCCTTCTTTAGGGTTTATCTATTGCATGTGTTTTCATGGGTGTAGCTAACTTCCTTGGTTTAGAGGTTTCCTTCTACTTTCTGTAGGGCTGGGTTTGTAGATAGGTATTGTTTAAGTCTGGTTTTGTTATGGAATACCTTGTTTTATCTAGCTATAGCGGTTGAAAATTTTGCTGGATATAGTAGTCTGGGTTGGCATCTATGGTCTATTAGTATCTGCATAACATCTGTCCAGGACCTTCTTGCTTTCAGGGTCTCCATTGAGAAGTCAGGTGTTATTCTGATGGGTCTGCTTGGCTTTTTTTCCTTTGAAGCTCTTTGTATTTTTCCTTATTCTGTATATTTTATGTTTTTATTATTATGTGGCAAGAGGACTTTCTAGGGGGTCCTGTCAATTTGGTGTTCTGTAGACTTCTTATATCTTCATAGGCATGCCCTCCTTTAGGTTGGGAAACTTTTCTTCTATAATTTGGCTGAATATATTTTCTGTGCCTTTGAGTTGGTATTCTCCTTCTTCTATCCCTGTTATTCTTAGGTTTGTTCTTTTCATGGTGTCCCAGATTTCCTGGATGTGTTGTGTTATGAATTTTATGGCCTTAATGTTTTCTTTGACCGATAAATCTATTTCCTCTATCGTGGGTAACTTCAATGCCCGATTCTCTCTTCCATCTCCTGTATTGTATTGTTTATGCTTGCATCTGTACCCAGATTTTTGATTTCCAGAATTCCCTCCATTTGTGTTTTCTTCATTGCCTCTATTTCAGTTTTTAAGTCTTGGACTGTTTGATTGCTTTTTCTTGGCTTTCTTTAATAGATTTATTAATTTCTCCCAATTATTTTTGTCTTTTCCTCAATTTCTTCAAGGAAATCTTTCATTTCCTCTTTGAGGGTCTCTATGATCTTCATAAAGTTACTTTACAGTCATTTTCTTCTGCTTCTTCTGTTCAGGTCTTCTGGTTGTAGGAACAATAGGTTCTGGGGTGCCATATTGCAATTTAGGTTGGTGAATATATTCTTGTATTGATGTCTACACATCTCTTCCTCTTATCAGTGTAGGCAATATCTTTGCCTTTTGGTCTACTCATTGCAGCTGTTGCCTGTGTCTCAGGAAGCCATTCTTAGTCCACTCTGTGCAGTTGCTCTCTCTGTCTCAAGGAGCCACTGAGGTCTAGTTTTGAATTCTCTGACCATAAGCCAAGATAAAGGGAAGCCATTTTTATGGGCCCAGACAACTTATTTCAGTAACTCTTCTTGCATGCATATATGTATATTCATATGCATAAATATTCCTTTGGGGTTGTTGTAGCACCCAACTTTATCACTGCATTTTGGAGAAAGGCAGGCAGATCTCTGAGTCTAAGATAAGCCTGGTCTACAGACCAAGTCTGTGACAGCCAGTGCAACACAGAGAAACTTTGCCTATAAAACAAAAACAAACAAAGAAGCAAAGAAAGAATAATGAAACTACATAATCCTAAACATAACCATCTGTGTCCATAGCATGTTACTTGTATGTGTGTTTTCAAGGGTATGATATTAGATAACCAATTGATAGGCTGTTCCTGAGGTGAGACCATGTCTCCTGCTCCCTGGCTGCCTGTAGTTTTCTGTGTAGGTCTTTGTAACATGTAATCTTTCTGTAATCCACATTGTGGTGTCCATTTACTTGTCCTTGCCTTTCTCCCATTACGTGGGCATGTTGGGGAAATTTTAGAGATGTAGATTCTGGCATTACCTAGGTGTGAGGGCTACTCTTGGTTATCAACTTGACTACAACAGGAATGAACTACATTTCAGAAATGAAGAGTACACCAGTGAGATTACTTTTGCTTGGTTTAAACCCACTTGTAATCTGGACCTTGGGAATGGGAAGACACACCTTTTGAAATGGTTTTGAGGCTGGAAAGTTAAACCTTCAATCTAGGCCATATCTTCTCCTGGAAGCATATATAAGGACAGGGAAAATTGAAGCTTTTGTTTCTTGCCTGCTTGTGGGCTCATTTCCTTGGTAGCATATCCATTCCTTCACTGGCATTGAAGCCTTCTTCTTTAGAATTCCATCATATACTGAAGACCACAAGAGAC